TGAAATTTGTATTCTTCTCATTTTTTAAGTTTTTAGTGCTATTAGCTGGCACTTCTTTAAATATTTAGTTTTTTTTTTTGAGTTAACGGCCATTTGAACTTTAGTTTATCTTAACATACATTACAATATATATCAGCTTAGTTAAATCAGCTTAGTCAGCTTAGATTAAAAAAAAAAAATAATCAATAAAATATAAAGTGCTCTCATATCCAAACAAATTTTAGAAATAATAGATATTTATATGTTATTTACAAATTTTTAATGATTATTATTGTTAACAAAACTGAATATGTTGCTCTTTGAACTATTATTTTTATAAAATAAAATAGTTATTAAATAAAATTGATATTTTATTGCTAAAAAAAAATAAACTTTAATGCTTAATTAAAAATAATTATGAATTCAGAGTTACTTGCAACCTGTGGTTAGAAAATTAAATGCCATCTTCAAATTACATTGTAGATATATGCGCGTCTTATACAGCATAAGCAGTGCAGACATCAAAGTATCTTCAATAATTGTGTAGACACTGATTTCAAATACATTATTTAATAAAAGATATTCATTTTTATTACTCTTGAATATAAAATGTTTGTAATGTGGAACCCCGCAGACAAATCCATAAAAGTGTGCAATCAACTTAGGTTAAGAATTTATGCTTGATGATTAAGAGAGGCTAAAGTTTAAGTGTAATTATGCAATAAAAATTAATAAAAAATAGTATAAACATACATACTGTTTTGAAGAGCATACCACATTTGTAATTTAAATTAAAAGTAATTAAATAATATAAATAAATATAGCTATTAATACATTTAAGATGATATTTTTAAAGCATTAAACAGTCTACTTATCAAACGAAATTTAAAATAAAAATTAAATTAAAAGTGTGAGTAATAAAAAAATATTTAGTTTATTTATTTAATTTGTTAATATACGACTTAAAGCAAAAAAATCTTATCAATATTTCACATATGATGATGTTGGAGTTCGTGTAGAAAAAGTGATATTATGTACCAAAATTATTTTTTTGTTCCAATACATCTTCGAGGAATGCCGACTTATCGTGTTGAAGGACATAGTAAAGCAATGACTTCAAAAGCGATGCAGGTGGTAGTTAAACTAGTGATATAACTTTCTGTATCGGAAAAGTCAAGAGTAAGCACGAAGTTAAGTACAATCCACGACGAGACACCGTTTTGACCGAGAAACCAGCAGGTGGGTGTCTGTACTTCAAATTAAAGCGACCTTTAACTAGTAATGCTTATTGGCGTATATTAAACAATACTATATAAGTAAATAAAAAGATATCACAACAAATAAAACCGTCCGTATCGATATAGATACAGATATATAGATATAGATATAGATATAGATATAGATATAGATATAGATATAGATATACCCAGTAGAAAACGGATCGATCCGTCATCGAAGACGTCTTCAAGACATGGATACATACATGAAGACCGATCGATCCAAATGTATGCCGGTCTTCGAAGACACTTTCATACAAATTAGCCAAATGTCTTCAATGAATTTTTGCGTACATGTCTCGAAGACCGTCTCGAAGACAATGTCTTGCATAACGGACGCATTCGACAGAAAGTTGTGCGCTCTTAGTGCAGTGCTCATATAATTTTTTCACCCTTTTTTTTATTTCTACTCTTTTATTGCGCTCTTTAAATTTTAAATGAATTTCAATTTTCTCTTTAAATAAGTAGAAAGAAATTGTTGTATTTTGTACTTTTATTTATTTTATATAATAATTTCTTAAATTACATTCAAAATTAAAAGTTTTAAAAATAAATTATAAATTTTATTATAAATTATTACAAATTTTATTAAGATATTAATAATAAACTAGTAAAAACTAGTAAACATAATGAAAATTAATTTAAATAATTAACTTAATATAACTTAGCATATCTAAAATTAACTAAAACTAATATAAAATAATTTATAGCATTTCGCTATCATCAAATGTTGAAGTTTTATATGTTTTCAAAAGCGTTGAAGAGGATTTTGGTACAATTAAACCTTCTGATCTTAAGAGTTCTAAAATATCATTACTACAACGCCTGTTAATCCTGTGTTTTTTAAATATAACAGCTAATTTTTCACAAGTGTTTTCAGTTTTTTTATTTTCAACATCCTTTGTTTCGTTTCTAAAACAACTTTCACTGGAATTATTGTCTTCAATATTAATATCAATATTTTTTCCAGGAACTAAGTCACTATTTAATTTGTTTTGATTTAATTTCTTTTTTTTTAATATTTCGTAGTTTAATGATTTTGTTTCTTTATTTATTTTGATTTTTTTAATATTTATTTCACTACACTTCAAAATTATTGCGTCAGTTCATTTATAAAACAGCGTCATCTGATGCAAAATTCAAATACGTTGCTGTGAACACTAAAAATGAGAGAGAAAGCAAAGAAAGAGTATTTACATTCATGTTTTGAGCAATTGTTTTGCAAATTTGCTTGAAAATGCGGACGCGGTATCAAAGACCGTCTTGAAGACAATGTCTTCGAAGACCACTTTTTCTACTGGGTACATATGTTTATAAATATAGATATAGATATAGACATATATAAAGATAAAGATATTGATATATATACAGATACAGATACAGATGTAGATATAGATATATATATATATATATATATATTGATGTAGATATAGTTATAGATATGGATTTAGATATAGATACAGATTAAGCTATAGATATAAATATAAATATAGATATAGAAGTAGATATAGATATAGATGTAGATGTAGATATAGATATAGATATAGATATAGATATAGATATAGATATAGATATAGATATAGATATAGATATAAATATAGATATAGATATAGATATAGATATAGATATAGATATAGATATAGATATAGATATAGATATAGATATAGATATAGATATAGATATCTATTAAAATCGTTAATTATTAATTTTCTCAAATAAAATTCACAACAATTATTATTTAATTAAAAACAAAATAATTGAACCTTATTGACTTATATTTTGGAGAGCGTTTATACACATATATTATACATATGTATATTAATATCTATATTTC